AGCTGCATCAGGTGGGGTCAGCATAGGCAAAGACCACAAGGGTCACTGGTGGTAAAATCTGTGGGTGTCCACAGTGATGGCAAGGGTTTTTGAGATCCTCCTGCTCTCCTTTTCCCATGTGGCAGAAGGTTATGTGGAGAGGATTCCTGTTGGTGCCAAGTTTTGGTAAACTGGGGCTTGGGGTGACAAAGGTAAGATATGCCTTGTTTTTTTATGCAGTCTTCCACAACATTGGTTGCTTCACTATACTCTGGAGCAGTTCTACAAGAGACATTTTCATTGCTATGTAATTATTTATTCATTATTTTTGTCCAGGAGGTGGGAGCCATTGAGACTTCTTGCTAAAGTCGCCCTTAAAAAATTATTTTGGAAGTACATCTCAAGAATCTCATTTTCCTCTTTAGAGGATGTCCCAGAACTCTCATTTTGTTTTAGAATTGTGCTAAACAATTAAAATTAGGTAATTCTAGAAAATGGAGAAAAAACTTGTATTCAATATGCCATCATCAAGTAAGGCAAAAACCTAATGGAGAGCCAACTCCATGTCAGAGACTTTTCAGAATACTTCAAAACTCTAAGGAAACCAGGGCATAAGGGTAAGTTATAAGTTAAGCAGAATGACATTCTGGCAAACAATGATTTAAATATTAAAGATTATCTGTTCTAGGGCTAAAATTCTAGATGGAATTATATAAAATATATATATATACACACACACATATATATATAAAATGAATTTGTGAATCACTAATCAGGGTTCTCAAACCTATCTACCAACCACAAAAGCAGTACACTGGAAAATTTGATATTCATTAGGGCTAATTGTGTATTATAAAACTCTTATCAAATAAATACCAAACACACACACCGGTTACTAAGATCACAACTATATTACACAATAATCAAGTAGATACATTTCTCCATTTCACACTTATTAAGAATAAAATATTTCACTTAGCTGAACTTCCTTGAAGTGTTTTTCTTAAATAACTATTAAATTAGGACTTTCACTTCAAGAAGATGGAGTAGATGTACTTTTCCCTATTCCTCCTCCTAAGTTCAGTATAAAACTTTAGAATATATGCATATAAAAAACAAACTTTAAAAGACTGAAAAGTTTAGAGAAGGCACACTGGCTAGAAGCTTGATATTAACAGAATAATACAGTGATGAGTTACCTGGGCTTTCTTTTTGCCTTTTATATTCCAGCTGGCAACTCAGAAGACACCAATGGGCATAAACAAAAGAGAAAACCACAAATTTTTGAAAGTCCCAAAAAAAGCCTTCTCTCTACAACCAAAGAATAAGGGGCATCTTAGCAAGGCAGAAAACTTTTAGACAATTACCACTCTATCCAGCCAAACATCACAGAAAAGAAAACAACAACAACAAGAAAACTGCAGCCCTCCTTCCCCACTCCCATCAGCAAGGGCCAAATACAAAGCCTACACTTCTACTCTTGCCAGGCTGCAATAAGGCACCATAGTTCTCCTCTCCCCTTAAGGTAGTGTCAAAGAAGGCCAAGTAAGAAGCTGAGAATTTCATCCTCAGCCCAAAATTTCATCCATGCTACTGGCAGTGACTGCAAGGTAATAAGGCACATTATTCCCCTTGTTGGGAAGTGTCACAGACTACCAGAGAGACAGCACTTTCACCACCACTCACAGTGTCTGCCAAGACTGCATAAGGAGCCTGATGTTCTACCCTCATGCTACAATAACAAGGAGTCTCTTCCCTTCCCCATTAGGTGGTATCAGAGATCCATAGTGACCACCAGTCAACAATAACAAAACCACCTTCTCACATCAGTAGAATATAGGTAGGAGACAGTAACCACATGCCCCGTGTCCATAGCCCTCCCCCTCCCAGCCAGAATGGTATCAGCAAAAGCTTAGTGGGGAGACTGAACTCCCATCCCTCCCCAGCAACAACAAAAAGAGAGATCCCTCCCGACATTACCAGTTGCCACTGGAGGCTAAATAGAGATGCTGAACTTCCACACTCACTGACAGTAACAAGGTAGTGCCACCATTCGAGTACCAGAATAAAGCCAGAGAAAGGCTATAATAATGTAAGATTTAAACAAGATTCAAAGTCTTAACAATATCCAAAATATCCAGCTTTCAATAAAAAAACCTTCATAATCCCAAGAATCAAGATCTTAAGATGAATAGAGACAATCAACAAATGTCAACAAGATTATCATAGACGTTGATCAGGCAAGGACTTCAAAAAAACATCATAAAAATGGTACAAGTAATTACAAATATATTTGAAACAAATAAAAAAATAGCAAGTCTCAGCAAAAATACAGATGACATAAAGAAGAAACAAGTAAAACTTTGACGACTACATAGTACAACAATTGGGGGGGGACCTCAATGGGTCAATAACAGAATGGGGGACCTAGAGGAGAGAATCAGAATTAGAAGATAAAACACACAAACTACCCAATATGAAAAACCAATACAACAAACAAGGTCTAGAATTTGTGAAACTACAATAAAAGATCTAAAATTTTTGTCATGAGAGTCCCAGAAAGAGAGGGAGAATAGAATAAGGATAAAAAAGTATTCAGAACAGCCAACAGATGAAAATTTCCCAAATCTGCCAAAATACACTAACATAGAATTAACCCCAAACAGGAAATAACCAAAGAAATATATGAAAAGACAAATCATAGCCAAACTTCTAAAAATTAAAAGAAAAAGAAAAATCTTGAAATAAGCCAGAAATGAAGTGATATATTTTCAAATGCTAAAAGAATTCTCAACACAGAATTCTATATTCAGCAAAAAAAAAAAAGAAAAAAAGCTTCCATAGTGATGGAGAAATCAAGACATTATTAGATGAAGGAAATTAAGAAAATCTGTCACAAGCATATCAACCGTAACAGAAAAGCTCAAAGGAAGTTCTCTAAGCAGAAATGAAATTATAAAAGTAAAAACTACAAAACAATGATGAAGAAATCAAAGATGTAAATAAATGGAGAAATAGTACATATTCATGAATTAGAAGACTCAACATAGTAAAGTGCAATTATTCCTAAATTGATATACAGGTTTAATGCAAATCCTATCAAAATGCCAGGAAGATTCTTTTGTAGATATAGATAAGATCATTCTAAAATATACACAAGAAGTCAAAGGAACTAGAATATACAAAACAATTTTGAAGAAGAACTTTAATGAAAACGATCATTAGAAAAACAAACCACCCAAGTAGAAAATAGATAAAAAGACATGTAGAAACATTTTACCAAAGCAGATATACAGATTGCAAGGAAACATATGAAAATATGTTCAACATTCTTAACTATTATGGACTGAATATTTGTGTTCCTCAAAATTCATATGCTGAAACCTAATCAACAATACATGGTATTAGGAGATGGGAACTTGGGAGATATTTGGATTAATAGGGTAAAGCTCTCATAAATGGGATTAGTGCTCTTACAAAAGAGAACCCCAGAAAGTTCTCTAGTGAGAAGTCAGGAGTCTATAACCCAAAAGAGGACCCCCACCAGAACTTAACCATGTTGGTGCCTTGACCTCAGACTTCCACCCTGTGAGAACTAAATTTCTTTTGTTTAATAAGTTATCCAGTCCAGGGTACTTTGTTATAGGAGAGTAAACTAAGATATTAGTCATCAGGAACATGCAAATTAAAACCATGATGAGACACACTCCTGTCAAAACAGCTAAAATAATAACACCAAATATTTGTGAGAATATTGAGAAAGTGGATCTCTCATATACTGCTAATGGAAATATAATGTGTTACTATCACTCTGGAAAACTGGTCATATCTTTTTCAAAACTAAACCTCTAATTACCATTTTACCCAGAATCAAACTCCCAAGCATTTATCACTAAGAAATTAAAATTTATGACCATACAAAAATCTATGCATAACCATTCATAGCCATTTTATTTGTAATAGCCCAAAACCATAAAGAACTAAAATACCCTTCAATAAGTGAATAATCATACAAACTGTGGTACCTCCACAGCATGGAATACTACTTAGTAATAAAAAGGAATAAACTACTGATACATGCAACAGCTTCAACAGATCAGGACATTATGCTAAGAAAAAAACGCAATACCCAAATGTCATTCCTTGTATAATTCCATTTACAACATTCCCCAAATGACAATATTACAGAGATGAAGAACAGGTTGCAGTTGCCAGGGGACAGGGTCAGTGGTCAGGATGGGGGATGTGGTAGGCTAGGTGTAATTATAAAAGAATGGCACAATGGAGATCTCTGTGGAAATAAAACACTTCTATAGTAATGCATACATTAATCCACATGGTTTTGATATTATGCAATAATAATATAAGATGTAACTACTGGGCAAGATTGCGTATAGAATACAAGTCCTGTACTATGTTTGCCACTGCATGTTGCAATCTATAATTATTTTTAAATAAAAAGTTAAAAATAATAAAAAAGATGATAAACAATAAACTTCTAAGGGATTCCTTTTAGGGAGAAAAATACCTATTAAATCCACATAATTCAAAGAAAATAAGTTAGTTTGCTCCGTAATTTCTATTTTTTAGTTTTAGGAGGGAGACAGGTTTTGAAAACACCTAGTTGATGCTTACAATCCTTCAGATGAGAAATCTTATCATTACTAACGGCATGATAAAAAAGATTACTTTGTTTTGTATTAAAAAGAATACTTAAAAGTACACCAAGATTTGACGGCATGTTGTTTTTTCTTCAGAGATTAAATTAATACCATAGTTAATTGTGGCAAATCTAATACATACGAACTTATTTCTAAGAAATAAATCTCTCCAAACTAGTTAATATAGTAAGATTTCATTTTTGATATGCAAAAATTGTAATAGCAACAAAACAGAAGCAAAAAAAGGCCACTAAAAGTGAAAAGAACACAATTCTTTAAAAAAGAAAAAACAGTCCTACATATTAAGATATTTCAATACCAGCAAAAAAAAAAAAAAAAAAAAAAAAGGCCACACATCCCTGAACTAGCCAATGTTTTAATAATCCATGATAGGCAAAAAAATGTTCTTATGACCTGTTACCACCTAAAATAATGCATCATATTATTTTCCAGAATGTGTTCTTTGATGTCTAACCTCGGCTCTTCTTCAGAATTACCTGTGAGAAGAAAAGAAATGAAATTCATATTATACCTATGGAAAATAAAACAATTTCTTAACAAAAGGTTAAATAGTCCTATAAGCCTACTATGTAAGACTGAAGTGGTTAGAAAATCTTTGCCTTGTAAACTGCCTTAGATTTCTTTAAAACAGTCCACCTCTTTCAATGAATGTGAAACTTGCCTAGATTCTCAAAACCTAGTTTTATAATCACTTCTAGATATTAATTTCTTCAATTGTAAACCAAAACTGCCCCCATTAATGGTTCCAAACTTAACCCTTTTAGACAGCTTAGTGATCCAAAGAGTTAAAGAATGTCCTAAAACTTGAAAAGCCTGGCATTTCACAACTCTAAAATAGTATAAATCTATTGTAACACCAAATTTTTTATATTTGGGCTAGAATTATATCAATATAGACTACTTTAAGTAAATAAACATGGTTTATTAAAAACAAATTCTAAAATTAAAACACACATATACACACTTGAAGTCATAAGCTTGCTTCACCTAAAGAAAAATAATTACACTGACTATAACAACCTAGAAACTTGTTGGAATGTTGACTAATCACAAGTGAAGATGTGTTTTCATGCACAAACACTGTTGACCAATCAGGAGTTAACTCATGTTTGCACTTGCATTAGCTATTTCAAGTTTTAAAACACAGGGTAATGTAGGATATTGTAAAAGTTTTCTTAATTGTGTTCAGTGGTACTCACTTTATTATAAAAAATTATTTTTCTAAATATTCAAGTTTTTATCACAATTCTAGTATTGCAAAAATGACAGATAGTGATAGTAAAGAATTTATCAATGAATTATATACAAATGCTTTATCTGATTATCCAAGTGATTTTGAAATAATTTGTAGTGATCTGGAAAATGACAGTTTAATGCAGCAGTTCTCAACCTGTAGGTTGTGACCCCTTTTTGACAACGAAAATACATTGCGGCATTAAGAAGGTTGAGAACCACTGATTTAACAGAAAACAATTATGAATCTGATATTAGACCACCAAAATAGCAAAAGAGAAATGTAATAAAACCTGATAGTGATTTTTGAAGAAGACTGGATTGATATTGAAAATGATATTACACCAACCTTGGAAGAGCATTTTAACAAATTTATAGTTGAATTAGTGGTCCATAGAATAACAGTGAAGTGATAAATTTACTCTTTCATAATGACCTTTTTGATTTACTTTCCAAAATAGTTCATATCACTGCCAAACAGAACAATTTTATAAAAACGCTGCTGAAACTTTACCATGGACAGAAGTTACCACTGATATAACATTTCTCCATTTATTGATATTGATGGAACAAACAAATAAAAAAAAAAAATCACATTGGAGAGATTACTGGTCACTAACCCCTTTCCTTGAAATACTAATACTTCCTAAAACTACGACCAGAATGAGGTTTGAGCAAATCCTTACATTTTTTCCATCTTAGTGATAATTCATCAGCTACATCTAGTGAAGACAGACTTTATAAAACTAGAAGATACGTACAAAGTTTCATTTCAATTCATTATGTATAAGTATACTGAAGTTTACTTAGACTGTTTCACTTACACATTCAATTACAAAATAATAGCTGTTGACTGGAATAGCTTCTGCATATAATTGCTGGTCGACAATGTGTTGTTAACTGCAGGAGAATTTAAAGTCCCTTACTTACAGGCTTCCACCAAGGCTATCAAATAATTCTCTACCCTGGGCCAGTGTTCTCTGTTGTATAAGATGTTATCACAAGTTCCTCACAAATGAATTTTCAAAATACGAGTATATTATGTACTCTTATGAATTTACAAAATGCTAAATTAAAGCTAAATTAAACAGTTCGACAAGTTTCCTTACTTCTATGTATCTCATAACCTGTGGTATCTTTATAGATAGTAAAACTAGATACACATGTAAGAGTTATAATAGATAATAGCATTGTGAGAAACTGTAAAAAGGTGCATGGAAACTCTGAGAAACTATTTTTGCCCCTTATGAGTATATAATTATTTCAAAATAAAAATATTAAAACAAAAATGTCTACAAAGAGATAGACTGTCAAAAATAAGTTTATCTTCCACACTACCCTCCAATCAACTGTAGTTGCCAGTTTATTACATATTCTTACAGAAACCAGTTCGACATATAAACAACACCACCGTGATTAATCAAGGAGATACAGTGTGTTCAGTTACCAACATTTGTCTGACTACAGAAACTTTTGAGGTAGGGCATCTATTAACATCTTCTGGAAATAATGTTTTCAGGAACATATTTGCCCTAGGCATCATATTCTTACATTATATAGAAAAATGCCAATAAAAAGCAATCTTCTATGCTTATATAAGAGATTTCATTCATAAGTTCTCAAATCTCAAAGTTAGAAAATAAAATAATTAGTTTAATTAGGTAATTAGTATAATTTAAAATTATCAGTAAGAAAGTAAATTTTGATAAATTTCAAGGTGATATACCTTCTCAGCCTACAAATTAGCAAATATTCATTTTCCCCTAACCACGATAAATCAGGTAGAAGTGATGAACCAGGTGGTATTTTTGAGTTAATTCTTGCTCAAGAAAAGAAATTCAGATTTTACCTTTGCTGCAGCCATCACATGCTCCTTATTAATGACTCCACACTTACTCTCACAAGCATTTGTCCTGGACTCTTCTGCTAATCGATGAACAAACAGTAAACAGCTCAGATGAACCTTTAAAAGAAAAAAAAGTATATTTTTAAATTCAAACATTAATTTATGTACTTTATGATTAAGTCAATTAACTCCTCTACTTAAAGTTACACAGAATTCAGTCTAAGTACATCTTAGAATCCTTACAAAGAGATTTGGTCATGGCAATACATAAAACAAGGCTATGCAAGTAGACCAAAGGCAATAGCATCATTATAAAGCATCACTATATATCAAAATTTACATAAGATTCTAGTAAAGAAAAATTTTTCCTTCTTCTGATTCCAAATAAATTTTCATTTATAATTTAATTCAAAATTTCCAGAAAATTTTACATTAGAACATATCCACAACTATGTTTTAGGCTATCTCTTATTCTACAATCTAAAGTCTAAGACTCCTTAACTTAAAATATCTATTCAAAAACTAATAGGTTCAAATTAAATTTTTAAAGTTTACTGAATTGAAAAGCATAGGTACAAAGCAAAGTTACTTGTCATCCAACAAGTATCATAAAATAGTATCTCCTATAAATAATCTTTAAGCCTCTTCTTAAAAATTATTTAAAATAGACAATATATAAACAGAGTGCAAAAGTCAGAAGCCTTATCGGAAGCTGGGTAAAAAATACATGGGAATTAACTGTATAAAGAAATATAGCTATGTAAGATGTTAGCATTATGGGAGTCTGGATAAAGGATACAAGGGAATTCCATACTATTTTTGCAATTTTTGAGTCTATAATTATTTTTAAATGACAACGTAAAACAAAAATTCTACAAAAAAATAGGCTGTCAAAACCAGTTCTCTCTCCTACATCATTTCCCAGTCAACCATTGTTGATAATGTCTTGCATGGGACTTCTTTATTTATATCTTAGCACACAATCTTTGAAGTTACAAGAACAATTCATACATAATACTTCATAGTCACTATCTTGTGTATTGCACATAAACACTCCTAGTTCACTAAACCATAGTAGTAATGTGGTGTTTTTAAATGCTTTCTTTATATTACACAGAATATATTATAAATTATATTATATTTATATTGGATCACTCTATATGTGTTTGAGAATGCTCTGGTGATATCTGGAGAAAAGAGGACTTTGTGAGTTTAAATTTAATAAGATGAAGTGATAATTATTTTGCATGTTCTTGATGCACTTTAACTCACAAGAACTCCAAGGTAAAGGTAAAGCATCTCAATTCCAATTCTTTTTTTGTTTTGTTTTGCTTTAGAGATAGAGTCTCACTTTATCACCCTCGGTAGAGTGTTGTGCGGTCACAGCTCACAGCAACCTCCAGCTCTTGGGCTTAGGTGATTCTCTTGCCTCAGCCTCCCAAGTAGCTGGGACTACAGGCACCCACCACAACACCCAGCTATTTTTTATTGCAATTTGGCCAAGGCCGGGTGTGAATCCACCACCCTCGGTATGTGGGGCTGGCGCCCTACTCACTGAGCCGCAGGCACCACCCTTTTTTGTTTGTTTGTTTGTTTTTTTGAGACAGAGTCTCACTATGTTGCCCTCAGTAGAGCGCTATGGCATCATAGCTCACAGCAACCTCAAACTCTTGGGCTTTAGCGATTCTCTTGCCTCAGCCTCCCAAGTAGCTGGTACTACAGGCACCCACCACAACACCTGCCTATTTTTTGGTTGCACTAGTCATTGTTGTTTAGCAGGCCCAGGGTGGGCTCAAACCCACCAGCCCCAGTGTATTTGCCCGGGGCTCTACTCACTGTGCTAAGGGCGCCAAGCCTCAATTCTAATTCTTTACATTATACCATGCCATTCCATTTTTTAAATTTTCCATGATATTTCATTTCCTTTGGTAGCAAAAACATTCCATAATATGGTACTATTTCATCTGTTAATCTATATTTTCTACTTCTAAAGAGAAATAGCTTCCAGATATTCTCAGGATAAATTCCAAATTCTTAACACTAAACCCTACTTGACCAGACTTTCCAATTTCATCTCTTACCTTTCTCAGCTTCCAGTTCTAAACTAGGTCTTCTGAACTTCTTTCAGAATTCAAATACAACCTTGCCTCTGAGGACCTTACGGTTTGTTGACATTCCTGAAAAGGCCGACTTCACCCAATATGGAAGGTAATCTACATCACCCTTAACTTCCTATCACTGGACATAACACATTATACTTTCTCTCTTAAATGTCTTCCTCAATATACTATGAGGCAAGAAGTATGTCTACCCTTCTCAATATTGATCCCCAGTAACCGTTAGTCCATTGTCCAATACACAGTAGGTAGCCAATAATTATTATTTCCTGAAGAAAAGATCCTTCCATATCTTCCCAAATAAAGTCAAAATTGAGCCACATCATTTTAAAACTTAGTTCACGCTATTACCCTACATAAGATGTTCTTTTTTTATCATGGCAGGGGACCTTTCATACTGAGGCAAATTTGTATTACTTTTCAGATGACACAGAAATATTTTTAAGCAACCTATACCTATGTCATAAAACAATTGAGTGGTGCCACTAAAATGAACTGAAGCTTATTAAAATGGTCAGAACAAAAACTACCATCAAGGTAATTTGGCTGGGCATTTAAACTTGAAAAAAAAAATCAGCTTGCTTGAAAGGTAAATCAAAAGATAATTTACAAAGAAATATCCACCACTTGACAGTCTCAGTTGACAGAAAGACTGGGCCAGCCTGACTTCTTCCTTTTATTGTCATAGCACTTTTGAATTTTACACAAACCATAAGCACCCAGATAGTTGTGCAGCATTCCTTTTTGACATAAATATAAGCTAAAGGGCCATAAGAAAACTGAACAATTTAGGTACTATGCTAAACACTATAAATACAGAAATTTTCCAACTCACGTTCCCAGACTAGTAGGACAGTCAAACACATAAAGGAACTAAAGACAAATGTGTCACAATAGACGACAGACTGGAAGATAAGATTGATCCTTTCTAAGGAGATTAAGGAAGGCTTCCCTGAAGAAGTGACATTTGAACTGGATTTTGAAAGATTCTTGTAGTTCTCCAAGTGGAGTGGAGGGAAGACATCTTCAGGCAGAATAAATATCATGCATAAAAGATAACGTAAAAGTAAATTCATTTTAGGTTAAAGATAGAGATGACAGAAAAAGAAATAGATAGGGTTCCTTTCCCTCAAGAAGCTGCATACCGCACTGGGAGACATCAACATAGGAAACACCTAGCGAACAGTGTTGAGGCCTAATTCCTAAATTGTATGAACACTCTCACTATCGTCCAAGTTCAAAAAACATAAGAAATTTAAAAAGTGCCTTAACTGGAAAACTTCATGCATGATGTTGGACACCTGCTGGGTTAAGATCCTGCACAATATTTTAAAACTATAAGCAGGAACTTTGGGTTAGTTTTCTTTTAAGCTGACATGGCTAATAGCCTTTTTTAAATAGCCTTATTTGCGTTTCGGTGGATCAGAATACAACTAAACGTGTTTGCCAGGTTGGAGCAAACTTACCTAGTCATTGCTGGATATGCCTTAAACATGGGCCTGAACGAGCTATCGACTGGCTAGGGGCGGAGAAACCAGGGCTGGAGGGTCACTTCTCGTACTTCCCGAGCCCCCGCCCCAGTCCCAGAGGGGATGGAAGCTCACCAGTAAGTCGCCACTTTTCTCCAGACGAAGGTGAGGCTTATGACGCTTGAGGACCCGCCTCAGAAAGCCGCGGGGAGCCTTCCGCTTTATGTACTTCTTCTGGGAGACCGTATTCGGGGGCGCCATCCCCCTGTCCGGCAGCTGCCGCCTCAGCTTCCGCCTCAGCTTCCGAGGGTTTCTCGGCACCGCACACAAGCTCCCCGCCGCTAGGACAGTTAGAACAATCCGGCCCCTCCAACGCCTCTTCAGGGACTGAAACGGGTTCTAACATTCAAATCCGCCGCCAACAAAGCGCGCCCGGCGCTCCACAGTGACGTCAAGCCTTGCAAGCCCCGCCCCCGAAGGCGCCGAGCTGTAGATGAAAAACACCCACAGGTGGGCGGGGCCCAGGCGCTCTATGACAGCATTATAGGGCTTCCTTTCGTCCCTTTCTGTGTTATAACTGCTCTACCAGTATTTCACCTAGATTCCCTAGAGATGATGGGAAATTGTGGAGAGGTTGATTGCAATGCCAAGGCAGCTCTCCTTGTTCTCCAGGCTCTCACTCTATACCAGCGGTTCTCAACCTGTGTGTCGCGACCCACAGGAACTGTATTAAAGGGCCGCAGCATTAGGAAGGTTGAGAACCACTGCTCTATACGGAGCTTAATACCAAGGTGCTAAAAAGTAAATGAATAAAAAGAAGTTTGTGATGTTTTATTAAGATTCTCAAAGAACTAGTGCCTTCCTGGTGACTTTTCTGATAGTAGCAGTTAACAATGTGCACTGTTACATAATTTCATTTGTCTTACCTCAAGTTTTTCATGATTCTAGCTTTTCTTTACAAATGCGCCTTCATGTAATTTTTAGGGTCCTCCCACTTAACCTTGCAGTAACTTTCAGATGTAGTTTAAATGCTAACTCATTGAAGTGTTTGTTACTTCCCCAAGCAGTTAAATTCTCCATCTTCTGTGCTACCATAGAAGTAGTTCCTAAACTTCAAGGTGCATCAAAATCACCTGGAGGACACGTTGAAACACTGTAAAATTGTATTCCCAGAGTTTCTCATTCACTAGATCTGGTGGGATGCAAGAATGTGCTTTTCTAAAAGTACAGCACTCAGGAGAGAAGACACTAGCATTGCTAATCTGTGAACCACTCTGAGATTGTAAAGTAAATATAAAACTTTAAGCCCCCAACTGACTAAATGAAACTCTTTTAGACCAAGAAAACATGATAAACTGAGTTCTTGGCCATGACAGGAGGGGAGGTCAGACATGCCTCATTATATCCCTACCTTTGGGGGTTTAGACAGAACAACTAAACATCATAAGACCGACAGAACAGACTCTTTGTAGCAATAAGACACCAAAATATAGCAAAAACTAAGGATATGCCAGACAAGGTTAAGTCACGCATCCCCACACTTGAGGAATAAACTGTGTTCTAATTGCCTTAAGTTTTTTTCTTTTTCTAGCAGCTAAACAGGCTCTGGCCTCCAGATAAGCAATATTAAAAACATTTGAAGGCAGGAGACTCGCTGAGCCCAGGAGTTGGAGGTTGCTATGAGCTGTGATGCCATGGCACTCTACCCAGGGGGACAGATTGAGGCTCTGTCCCCCAAAAAATAAAAAATAAAAAAAAGGCTATTATCTATAGTAGTAACAAAAATCATAAATTATCTGAGAATAAATCTAATAAATGAAATACAACAACCTCTATGATCATATTGTTAAGCACTATGCAAAAGCATATCCTAGTCTTAAGTATAATACCATGCTTATGAATAACAATCATAAATAATGCAAATATGACAATTTTCCCTAAAAGTAACTCATATAACCAAATCAATTTCAACCCACAGGATTTTTCTGAAAGTTGACAAGCAGATCCAAAAATTTTTTTTTTTTTTTTTTTTTTTT